TAACAGTCCTGCGTTCCTCTGGCTCCAGTAAATCTTTCGCATATTCTTCACTGACACTTTGAGTTTACAAAGAAAGGACACAGAAACTGCAATAAGTTGCACATGTCATCCATGAATAGCAATCCTCTTGCACCACTGACAAACTCAAAACCAGGCTTTGCACACTGTAAACAGCTACTCTTGCAGACAATATTTCCAACTTCGAGAAATTAGTTTAAATATTTAACAGAATAAGCTTGCCTTATTTTATTTTCTTTCACATTAATGTTACATTATCCATGAAGTTTATCACCACCCTTTATCAAAGTGACCAATGTTTATACATATGACATACTCTTACAAAAGTAATTTGCACTTCAAAACCCACCAATGTCCCAATATTACATTCTGCAACACCATACTTCAATGTAGTACAAAAATACATTTGAAAATCCTGGTAAAAATCTAACTATATTGTTCATAAAGGTGATATGTCAGGCCCAAATCATTAATGTACCCTAGAATACAACTGCCATACCAAATGAAAACCTAATTCAAAAGCTTACAAAATGGTACAAGGATCTCTCTATTTTAACTAGGGCTGGAGTGTAACAGAGAGCTGGAAAGGTAAAGAAAATCTTAAAAATTAAAGTTTTGAAATTGGCACAAGAAGGAAAAAAAATATTGATCACTTGCTCAGCAGACTCTATTGGGTTATGAATTACGCTATTGTAATAAGGTGGTCACCTCAACCTCTGCAGGAGGCAAACTGTAATCTTCATGCTTAGCAACTTTTCACTCAGAACTATGCATGTTACTCACTATACAGGAGACTGGTTGGATTAAAGAGCCTGTCTCACTGAACTAGCTGAGAGAAAAATCTTGTTAATTTGTGGGAAATTATATGTCCCAGCTGTTCAGCCTAGTTAATCAACATACTGGAATAATGATTACCTGTAACATTTATACAGGAAAAATATATACAGGGTGTCCCAGGAGGAATGTGCCAAACTTCGGGAGGGTGTTCCTTATGTTAAAGTATGACGATATAACCCAAAACACCTATGTCCAAAGTTGAACGGTTACGGAGATAATGGCCCGAGAAAAGTGTGGTCTTCTAGCGGGTCCACGGATTATACCTATCAGCTGAGAGGAATTATCTCTGTTTGTCCTTGACTGCCGTGATTCATCCTATCCGTGCTTATGGAGTTGGCTTTATCAGAACGCGCAGTCAGCACGTTACGTCATCGCTTACCATTCATGTGTCATGTACAGTGCTTGGAACTCTTAACGACAACTTTGAGATGGCATGCGAGTTTTTTGTACTTCAATTTTATGGCTTCATGTCACTCACAAGTTAGTTTGATGTTACGTACATTATTAACATTACAGAATCCACATATTCCTGCCAGTTTTAATATCTATTTTGTAATCAACAAGTGTGTAACCCCGGTCAAAGTTTGACACTTCTCTGGCCATTATCTCCGTAACCGTTCAACTTTGGACATAGGTGTTTTGGGTTATATCGGCATACTTTAACATAAGGAACACCCTCCCGAAGTTTGGCACATTCCTCCTGGGACACCCTGTATACGTATGTATTGATCCACTTCTATTTAAAAACGGGAGGCTTACCTGTAATATTAGTAATATTATGGTAATATTTATATGGGTAATAGTAATACATATTTTGATCCACTGCTACTTAAAAAAAATGGGAGACTATGTTCTAAAAAACTGGTAAATGCATCCTGAAGCATAACTACCACAAAACTGCACTCAACTGTATCTAATAATATGGAAACATCAGCAACTACTGCATATATATATATATATATGACTTTATATAGAGCCCCATCTGGAAACTTCGATCACTTTATAAATAGATTAGAAACCATCCTAAATGTACTGCATAGTTCAAAAGTTGAATTTATAATTTGTGGTGATATAACTATAAACTATCTCACTAACAGTAATAGGAAACTAAATTTAGACTCTTTGAAATCATCTTACAATCTCTCCAGTACTGTTAACTTTCCCACAAGAGTTCAAAATAATTCTAGTTCAGCGATAGATAATATATTCATTGATAACTCAAAATTAAGAGACTATACTGTAGGACCCTTTATAAATGGCTTATCCGATCATGATGCTCAACTCATAGAAATAAATAATATTGACCTTCAGCCCAGTAATCAACAATATCAAACAGTAAGGAAAATCAACAAGCATACGATGGCAGATTTTGTCACAAAATTAAGTAATGAATCATGGGACAATGTATTTGACAGCAATAATATTGATTCTAAATTTAATTGCTTTCTGAACACATACTTGAGGATCTTTTATTCAAGCTTTCCCTTAAAAATAGTCAAAAATGAAAATAAAAACAAATCCACCTGGATAACAATTGGAATAAAAACTTCATGTAAACACAAAAGACAACTATATTTGGCCAGTAGGGACAGTAATGATCCAAGACTAAAAAGTCACTACAAAATGTACTGTAAAATTTTGTCAAAAGTCATTAAAGAAGCCAAACAGAATAACTATAACAGCCAAATTCTAAAATCAAACAATAAAATTAAAACCACCTGGGATATTGTGAAAGTTGAATCAGGAAAGAAATCTGTTAATGAAGACGTACAAAGTTTGAATATTGAAGGGAAGTCCACTAACAATCCACAAGCTATCGCAAGTGCATTTAATGAATATTTCCTTTCATTAGCTGAGAAAACATATTCCAATAATAATAATAATAATAATAATAATAATAATAATAATAATCCAATATACTATCTGTCTCGTGCCTTTAACAATTCATTTCCAAATATCAATCTCAAATTCTCAACAAGGAAGGAAATTGAAAACATTATTAAATCCCTTAAGCCCAAAAATTCACATGGATATGATGAAATCTCTACCAAATTACTTAAAGCAAGCTCTGTTTACATCAGTTCACCCTTGAATCATCTATGTAATAAATCTTTATCATCAGGTACTTTTCCTCAACGCTTAAAATACGCTGTAATGAAACCACTTTTTAAAAAAGGAGAGAGAAAATGCATCTCTAATTACAGACCAATATCCATATTGACTTCATTCTCAAAAGTCTTTGAAAAAGTTATGTATAATAGACTACTTGAACACTTAAATTCTAACAACATATTAGTCAAAGAGCAATTTGGATTTAGGAAAGACCTAACAACAGAAAAAGCAACCTATGAACTAACTAACGATATTTTAAGTGCTCTCAATGACAGATTAATTGTGGGAGGGATTTTCTGTGATCTAGCAAAAGCTTTCGATTGTGTTAATCATGATATCTTACTATCGAAATTAAATTTCTATGGAATAACTGGCAAAGCTAATGAATGGATCAAATCATACCTCAAAAACAGGTATCAAAGAGTTGAAATAAATAATAAAAACTCCAGTCATAATGCATTTTCAAACTGGGGAATTATAAAGCACGGTGTTCCACAAGGATCAATTTTAGGTCCCTTACTTTTTCTTCTCTACATAAATGATCTATCTAAAACCATCAACAATAAATCTAAACCAATTCTATATGCAGATGACACTAGTATAATATTTAAGAACTCTAAATTTGAAAACTTTAAAAATGACATAAATATTGTATTTGAAGCCTTAAACAGATGGTTCGAAGCCAATTTACTCTCATTAAATTTTGATAAAACCCATTACATATCATTCACAACTAAAATCAACCACCAAATTGATCTGGACATCAGTTATGCCAACAAATTAATCTGTGAAGTACTTGATACAAAATTCCTTGGAATACATGTAGACAGTACACTGTCTTGGAAAATACATATTGAACAAATTATACCTAAATTAAATGCAGCTTGCTATGCGATGAGATCAATTAAGCCTTTTATGTCACAGGAAACATTGAAGATGGTTTACCATGCCTACTTTCATTCTATTATGAACTATGGATTAATATTTTGGGGGAACTCTTCACATAGTGTAATAATTTTTAAAATACAAAAGAATATAATAAGAATCATTACAGGATGTAGAAGTAGAGATTCATGTAGAGAATTATTTAAGAAATTAAAAATTCTACCGCTTCAATCGCAATACATATTATCGCTTCTCTTATTTGTTGTTTACAACAAAGATAAATTCAAATTAAATTCTGATGTCTATAACATGAATACTAGACAAAAATATAACTTCCACCTACCCTCATCAACTTTATCAGTATATCAAAAAGGAGTCTACTTTACTGGCATAAAAGTGTTCAACAATCTGCCACAAAGTATTAAAAACTTGGGCAATGATACTAAAAAGTTTAAATCAGAGTTAAAGAATTGTCTACATGCTCATTCCTTCCACTCTTTACGTGAATACTTCAATGTAAATTGAGAATGATGTAAAATTAAGTTATATTAATTTTAAGCTAAAATTGCCTGTACTTATGTATGTAACCTTTCGACTTGTTCTGTATCCAAAGGTACTAACCTGCTTAGGATTTATAGACTGTAAATAAATTCAATTGAATTCAATAAACAACTTGCAACCCGTCTTCCCTACGTTCACTACCTCCAACCCCCCCCCCCCTTTTATTTCAGGGGGCTGTAGGCAGTAACACCAGAGGGCACTTAACGTAAATTTTAGTGTTTTCTTTCTACATACGTACGTAAGCCACTTAAACTGCTACAAAAAAGTTTTAATAATTTGGCAAGTTTACCGACAAACTGTAACCAATGGGTTCTATATTCAAAGCATCTTCCCCTCCATCAACTAGTTTTCTGCAAAGGTCGTACCTCTTCCAAAGACAATGTAGTATAGCAACAAACTTAGCTCTACTCAACTACTATTAAACCCACTAATGCAAAATTTCCTTGGTCATTCTGCCGACCGCGTGATGACCCCACCACTTACACCGAACTCGAGCATCCACATCTGAAAATTCTTTGCAAGCGATATAACCTTCATTTAACCTTGGAGGCCATTTTGAATCCTTGAATAGATATAGTATAACTTACCATTGCTGGGAACGTTACCACGCCAACCACATTGGACTCTTCATGAAAATAATTTTTAAACTGTTAAGAATCTGAAACCACAGAAGTTATTCATTAGCTCCTATCCCGTAGGAGAGCTATTCACGTAACCGTAATACCATACACGGTAACTACACAGTTTACAAGCTGTACACTAACAGGGCCACAATCACTACCTCCATACACAAAGAAATCATGTATACTGTAATTTTGTAACGTATAACTGAGTTCTACGTATGGAGGAAAACCGTTCCGAACTCCGTACTGCTATCTCGCGATTATATACAATTTAGAGCCATTTCTCTGAAGAAAAAACTTGCCCTATAAATGAATATACATAGACCTGCGTTTCATTATTCCCAATATCATCAAAAAAACCCTTATTTGTGGCATATATTGAAACACGTAGCATACACCACGTACAAAAGCCAGATTTCTCATGCACGATGAGGTGGCAAACTATGCGCAAGGCTTCTGCGCACACCCCGCCCTGCTAAGACAAACACGAAAAAACATAATTATAAATATAATTTCGAATATTTGAAATATTATTTTTTTTTAATTATTTAAATTTAAGATATATACCAATAACTTTATTTAGTAAACTCCAAGCTCCAAATTCCCCCACTTACCGCGACGCCTACATAATCAATACGACTGCGTGAACCAAATGTTTGTATATATCAATTTGTACATAGTAAGATAGATTAAATTAAACGTGTCCGTAATATGATGTAACTACACACAGTTAATTTTAACATATTAATTATTGTGACTTATATTTACATGTATATACAACTGATTCCGTATCATAACATGCTTCAGTAATCACTTACATCACGCTAACACGTAATGAGTTTGGAAAAAAAAATATTCCTATGTATTACACAAGCAATGTGGCTGAGCTTCTTGGGAAATCTCATAAGTTCTGTTCCTGAACAGACATCTGAAAACAAACACCTATATCTTCGAATTATATAACAATTCAAATAAAAATACCGCATACAATTATCCCACATAAATATTCACAGCACCACACTTATCAACCATAGGTTACTAACCATGTTAAGGGAATTTAAGTCACACCTGTTCACAAGACAAGCTAATATACGTCTATTCGCTTTATCTGTAATTTGTGCGAAGGAACTGGATATAAAGAAACAGCAGACTTCATATTCCATGTTAGAAAAGAATGCATTTACCTCATTTAATTTTCATTAAACCCTCACAATATGCATAATTCACTTTTAGGGCAACTTGGACATTTCACAAATTTACCGTATTCAATTGACCGAATGTAACCACAAACTAACGTATGGCAAGAGGCCTACGTAATATGAGAGATACAACATGGCGCTGTCATTTTTTGGTGATTGGGTTGGAAGTTGTTTGAAGTATCAACCAAGAAACGTACAGATATATAAATTCCTAGTTAACAGTGGGTTGCATAAGGTAAACAACGTTTCACCTATTCGAACAGAATTAATGTACGTTCTACACATCGTTTATAGTCGTAAGCCAAGGATGTAGAACATTGGAATTTTTCAAAACAGTATGAAACGTGGTCGTGGTTTTCAGCTTTATTTACAGACAACTTGTAAAGATGTTATGTTCTACAGTCCAAAATAGTTAGATTTATTTACAGACGTCTTGTATGAATGTTATATTATACAGCCCAAACTATTTATAAGAAGTATTTTCATCAAACAATATCTCTACATCAATTATAGTACAAGGTATTAGGCCGCGCCATAGCCCAAGCGGTTAGTTTCTGGCTTCCCACCGCGGCGGCTCGGGTTCGATCCCGGGTCTGGTCAAGTGGGATTTGTGGTGGACATAGTGGCGCTGGGGCAGGTTTTCTCCAAGTACTTCAGTTTCTCTTCATTCCACCAATTGTTCCACAGTAACCCTCACCTATCATCTGGAGTTTGTAAAATAGGCCAGAAGTGGCCACAGTACAAGGGACTTAACTTAGTCTCACCACACTAGCATTGAAGAAAACCATTGAGAAACTTGATTAGAAGCAAGTCCAATAGTCATTATGCCTCTTGGCTCATTACTGTAGCATTTAAATAAATTACAATTTACATTGCAACAAAATTGTTAAAAGTATGGCTTTATAAAACAACAGTTTTACACAGTCTTCTGCCACAATGTTGGGAAGTGATTATTTGATACTGTAGATGGTTTCAGGAATCTGTGCATAATGGACTTCATGACCCAAAACTCCTGTGAAGTCACAGCATTAGGTATGCTGTTTGTTCTTGGTGATTAATAGGGCAATATTTTAAGAAGAAACAGATACTGAATGTTGAAGGTCCGATACTTTTCTTTTTGTCAAGTGACCAATGAAGAGAAAAACAGCTTATGATCACTTCATGCCGGACAAAGCCACACTGCACACAGCTAATACTGTTCACCAAATATAAATCTGGGTGGCATTTTTACGGGGTACACTAACAGCCCTCACTCTATGCTTGACATTTTGACTCTTCTCAAAGAGGAATTTGACAATGTGTATAAAGATATTTGCTTCAGGTGTGAGTTCTGGCCACAAGGTCAGCACTTCTAAATTCAGCTGTAAAGCAAAAATTCAAGGTAAAGAAATCTGTGAAAAGTTAGCACATATTACTGTGCTGTGTGTGAAACTTTCTGTATCAGTTTATGGAAACCAATCTATTCTTAAACTGGATACCCTGTACCAGTAGCTTCAGCAGTCATACTGATAATCCACCTTGTACAGTCCGGTGTCAGAAAACGGAAATGTAGTATTGTTTGGGTAGTGCCATTGGAAGTAAAATCCTGTGACTTAAATCTTTACATAAAGTTGGATGGACAACTGTATTACTTGCACATCATCCTTTTGCATAGCTTCTCATGTCATTTAATTGATCTTATCCCCTGGGAAGAAATTACAGTACTGCTGTAACCAAACGGTGCAATTCACTAAGCTGTGAATTCAGCATGTGAAATAGTGCAGAATGATGTACCTTCCTTTTATATTTCATTATTCAAACCTGTTTTTTGTATATATTGCAGGATCTGTTCACACGTTCTTTAAGGGTTGGAGTGTTGTCATGTTGTGAGGCAGACTCTGAAGTGGAAGCCAAAAAACATGTTCCCTCAGTAGAACATACCACTGTTATTCCTGTAGAAACTAGTATGAAATATTTGAAAAGTGAAGGTATGTGTTATGAGTCCTAAAGATACATATAAGTTGAAAGTTTTGTGTGAAATTTTCTCCAAATATTCCTCCTTCAAGCCAGTAATATTACCATTTTATTGAAACTATGAAAGAAAGATTTTAATATTTTATGTTTAACCAAGCATATATGACAGGTCTATCCTGCACTTTAGAATTAGGAATTTATCCGAAGCATCAGGGTAAAGAACACTTAACAAAAGGACTGTTAAACAACTGATGTTAATTCATACTATGAACTTCTTCACAGAATTGATAATTAATTCTTGATGATAATGTTTTTTTTTTTCAGTTATTTTTTCAAGCACAGGTCTGGTAAAGAAGCATTCCTTTGTTTCTTACCTTAGTGATCAGACATATTTTTATGCAAAGAGGTCTCATGAGGTAAATCAGTTATGCTCCTGTTCTATGTGAGGAATGGAATGTACTAGTTAAGTGAGAAGATTTACAGAACCCCGGTACAAAATTAAAACGTGTTTCTGCTTTAGTTCTTATGTGGGATTCTTCCTGGATGACATAACAGATTGATGGATGGAAGAGTTCAGACACATATACTCTAACTTGATCATAGATTCAAGTAGCTTTGCTGTAGGCACCAGCACGGATGATGATGATGATTAGTGCAACTAATGGTAGATGAACATATGTACATCATAGATTTGTTTTTGAACAACTTTATAAAGATGATAAAGTCTGTTGGCCTTTGAATCACACATGGTTGGAAACTACTGACATGATAGACCTCATGAAGGTCTACCACCTAATATTTTTTCAATACAATGCATACTTAAATATATGTAACAGTAGTTTATGGCTATTCACTGTGAAATCTTTGGTATTCACTAGCTTTACAAGAATGGACATAACCAGTTGAGTGCATTTTTCTGCATTCAGTACTGAAATACTGTTGTATTCTAATTATACATATTGTTCTTTCAGCATACAAAGAAACATATGGTAACAAACCTGTGTGGAGTCAATATAGAAGGAATCACAAAGGTGCTATCCCCCCTCTAAAGACAAGAAAAACATGCATTGTAAGTAAATGATGGAAAAGTAGGAATATGCAAGTCACAAAATTTTCAGGTGTTTTTTTGTTTTCTTTTTTTTGTGCAGCAACATATTCCATTGCATCAGATTTGAAACAGCTGGTAACGCTGATATGAATGAACTTGTCAACAAGACCTTTCTCCCTCTTTCTGCCCATTGGGAGGGGAGTAGCTCTGGAATTATTTCTTTTAAATATGATTATTCATGAAAATTCTTCTTTAAAAATGATCTTATACAAGGGTTGGAACTTTAATAGTGGCAACACTGCTGTATAGATGCCATGCAATAGAACCAAATAATGTCGCTTATACCACACGTTAGTTACCTACCTACCTTACCTCAGAGCAAATGGACTCTCCCTTTCCACATCACACGCACGCGCAGTGACGAGAAGAGCAGAGCCTCGTGTTAGCTGGAGGTCTAATGCAGTGTTGTCACGAAGTTTTTGAAACAGGAACAATGGAGTTGGATAAAGATTGAATGTGCCAGAGGCTGTACAGCACAACAGTGTCATCAAGGTCTTCAAGAGGCTTGTGGGTAATCTGAATTGCCTTACAGAACAGTGGCAAGGTGGGTAAAAGCCTTCAACCAGGGACGCCAAAATGTGGCAGACGTGTCGGCCACGTCATCCTAGTGTCACTGAAGAAGTGTATGCTCTTCTCGCGTTAGTGGAGAGTGATCGACGTCATACGATTCGTGAGCTGGCCTGAGAGACAGGATTAGCGCATATAACTGTGCTTCACATTCTGAAGGAACGCCTGGGCATGAGAAAAATTGCATCACAATGGGTTCCGCATGATTTGACAGAAATGCAGAAATGGCTACGATACGATGCTGCTAGTAACCACTTGGAGTGCTATGAGAGGCTTTCTTATGCCGTATCATTACGCTGCATGAGACATGGGCCAAATCGTACGAGCCACAAATGAAACGCCAATCAAACGAATGGTGTCATTATGGGCCACCACGAAAATCAAAAGTTCATCATAACCCCAGCAGTGTGAAAGTTATGGTGATTCTCATGTACGACTGTGATGGTGTTATCCTAACGCATACTGTTCCCCGACAGCAGACCGTCAGTGCACAGTATTAATATTCATTTTTGGAACACAACCTCCTACCAGCTTTGAGAAAGAAGTGGCAACACTTTCTGCAGAACCCACCCATCATTTTTCAGGACAGTGCTCGGCCGCATGCAGCGCAAGCTATGGCTGATTTGTTGTACCATCCACCATACTGCCTGGATGTAAGCCCTTGTGACTTCGACTTGATTCCTAAGATGAAGGAACCACTTCGTGGCATTCGCTTCACAACTGTTCCAGAGATTCTTCAGGCAGTAGACCGCTCAATTTGAACTGTCAACACAACAGGCGCTGCTAAAGGTATCCTACGACTTACACACTGCTGGCAACGGGTTGTACACAATGCTGGTGACTACATTGAAGGACAATAAAACTTTGAAACATGCATCTGTTTTGTATCAGTTGTAAATAAATAGTCGCCACTATTAAAGTTTCAACCCTCGTATCAAAAGTAGTTGTCCAACATTGTGAAAAAGATGGTCTAGTAGAGAAATTCATGATCTCATCTTCAACTGAAAAACTCATTTTTACACATGCCTATTGAAAAGTATGGTTTGTTATTTTAAGACATGTAATGTACATAAGTTATTATACACAGTCCAAAGATTTGTTTTCACAACCTTTTCAGTGCCTGGTTAAATATCTTTCCATGTGATACAGAGTTAAAATTTTGAAGAACTTGTGTAATAGCCATTGGGAATTCAGTGGGAAGTCTGTCATTTGTTGCATTAACTGTCCTTGCATTCTCAAATATTCCTTTCCATTCCTACATGTGCTGTATGATGTGTCAGAGCCAGTGTTCAAGACTGTTTCTCACAGATCACGCATACATGTAATGAATTGTAAACCGTCTCCCTTTGTATGGTATACTGCACTTCACTTGTCCATATAAAAATGTTGTCAGTGCTTACAGAGTAGACATGATATATTGATACAGATGACTACTTGTTCATTTGTAAAATACTCTCTAACTTATATTTATGCAGTGTCAATGCTTGACAATTTGTAGCTTTGGTAACCTGAAAGAATGCAATAACAGTGATACATCTCACACTTACGAGTATGTGACTTGATATATAGAGAGATGGTTTATATAGGCCTATGCACTTAGCTGTATATGTATAGGAAGACATGCCAATCTGCAGGGTTTATGTATGTGTAAGGCTTGTTAGAATAAGCTTTATAAACTAAATATGCTTTGATTAATAGGCCCAGATATCGTGGAACAGAAATTGTGATTGTGCATCATTGAGCCAATTCTTTAATGTGTTGTGTATTAGAAAAAAGTACAAGGCCTGTGAAAGAATAGAGTAACAGTGTAGTTCGGATAGCTGTTAGAGAATCTTTTGACTGTCCTGTGGTGCAGACAACTAATTGATCAGATACCCCCTCAAAGGATGAAGACTTTAATGAACAGTGTGAGCATGTGACCGAGACAAAATGAGAGAATAGGAAGGCATACTCATTGAAATGATTGACAAACATTGAATGATGTAACAGCTGCTTTGAGATAATTAGGAAGTTTAAATGATATAATTATAAAGATCTTACAATAATAAACACAAGTACAGTCAACTCTCGATTATCCGGGCTAATGGTGGGGATCTGTATGGATATGTGAGAACTCTTAAGAAGGATTTATAATTTCTTTCAAAGCCAGTGACTTCACATTCTGAATTACTGTAGGTCATACTGTAGTTTTTACGGACTTTAAACATATATTGCTTTGTGTAATTAGTGTTGTTAATTTACATATACTACCACCACAAAATTGTCTAATAATTTAATTTAATTTCAGAGGGGTGGTAAAATTTCTACAGGTAACCCATGTCCAATCTGCAGGGATGAGTATTTGGTATTGCATCATGAGAATGTGGACTTACTAAATCAGTTCATTTCACCACACACTGGAGAAATTCTGAGCTATTCGTGAGTAGAGTTTTTGCTACTGCTTGACAGTATGGAGGCATGCTGTAGCATAGTTGGTTGAGGCACTTTGCTGCATGCTGGAAGGTCACGGGTTCAATTCCTGATGAGGTCATTGGACTTTTTAATTGACCTAATCCTAGTTGCCCTGTGGCCCTGGGGTTGACTCAACCTCTAACAGAAATGAGTGCCAGGAATCTTCCTGGGGAAAGGGTGGCTGGGGCATAAGGCTGACAACCCCACCACCAACACTGAGCTGATTGTCTACAAAATGTGGGAGCCTCAATGCCTCACAACCCTGTGGGCCTCTTACAGGGATAGCTTAGCTTTTAGCTTAATAGTATGACAGCAAAATGACACAGTATTTTTATATTACAGAAAAACTGGACTGTGTCAGAAGCGTCACATGGAGCTGCTGGTGGCAATAGAAAAGGCAAAGGACTATGGTTTCATAACTTTTGATGTTCCTTTTCGTAAATATGACTATTCATTATATTACAAATCCTAAGTAACAAACTCATAGTTATTGTTAATTCAAACGCTAGGACCTAAAATGGAGAGTTATGCATTTGTTATTGTGGGAGGTGGAATAGCTGGAGTATCCTGTGCAGAAGGATTAGCATTTTTGTGCCCGGATAAGCAAATTCTCCTACTTACAGCCTCACCTCTTGTTAAGGCTGTTACTGATATTGTTCACTTAAGTAAGACACTCTTTGACTTTGATGTTAAAGAACTCCGAGCTCAACAGTTTGCTGATTTACATCCCACCATATCTGTGATAGAAGATACAGTGACATCCATAAACACTGAAGGGCATACAGTTTCCACGACTGGTGGAAAGTGCATAAAGTATGACAAGATATGTATTTGTACTGGTGGGAGACCTAAGTTAATAGCAGAAGGAAATCCATTTGTTCTTGGCTTACGTGATACTGAATCTGTGAAAGAATTTCAATCTAGAATCCAGGATGCTCGTAGGATTGTTGTTGTAGGAAATGGGGGCATTGCCACAGAGCTTGTGCATGAGGTTGAAGGAGTAGAGATAATTTGGGCTATAAAGGATAAGCATATATCAGCCACATTTGTAGATCCAGGAGCAGCAGAATTCTTTCAAGCACAATTGTTAAAGAGAGGTGACAAAATGACAAGTCAGACATCATCTCCTGTAAAAAGACTGAAATACACTGTTGATGGATCATCTGACGTGAAGGATGCACCTACAGGAGCAGCCTTGGGTCCAGATTGGCATGCCACTTTCAACATTCATGGGATTCATGCCGACATGAGAAAGGTCACAGTGGAATATGAAACTGAAGTAAAGGAAATTAGACCCAGAGCAGATTCCAGGGATTCAGGTGGTGAATCATGGGCCATAAATGTTCATCTGACCAATGGCAAAATATATGGCTGTGATTTTATAGTGTCAGCAACTGGTGTAGTACCAAACAGCTCTGTATTTTCAGAAAGTGGCAAACTAATTCTTGCAGATGATGGAGGGATAAAGGTGAACTGGAAGATGGAAACATCTGTACCTGACATCTTTGCAGCAGGAGATGTATGTACTGCATCATGGGAACACGCTGCACATTGGTTTCAGATGAGGTTGTGGACTCAGGCTCGGCAAATGGGAATGTATGCAGCTAAGAGTATGGCAGCATCATTAGCTGGTGAAGAAGTCCTGCAAGATTTCTGTTTTGAGTTGTTTTCACATGTGACACGGTTTTTTGGTTTTAAAGTTGTATTGTTGGGCATATATAATGGTCAGACCCTTGATGGGCAGTATGAAGTTCTCCTCAGAGTCACTAAGGGTACAGAGTACATCAAGTTAGTAATGAAAGATGGAAAAATGCAGGGAGCAGTTCTCATAGGAGAAACAGATTTAGAGGAAATGTGTGAAAATCTGATCTTAAATCAACTTGATCTCAGTATCTATGGTGAAGACCTGTTAAACCCAGATATTGATATTGAGGATTACTTTGACTGAACAGTGGTTATAATTTATTGCTACCAACAGAATATTTGACAAAAATATCACTTTGACATATTTTAGACCTTTGTAAATAATGTCAGAACCCTCAACCCCACTGTTTGAAAACTGCTATTACAGTACTACTCAGGACTTTGGTCCTGTTGACTTCTAGTCAGAAAGAATCTGACAGCTTTTTGTGTTTGAGATGTCCGAGTAGGACACGGGGATCGGAGGTTTGATTTTCTTGGGACACCATATGAAAGAGGCCAAGGAAAACACTTCCTCTTAGGACTGTTTCCTGAGAGATGGGGAGAATCTTCGGAAGAATTGCCCTGATGCACGGGGGATGATACATCATGACTGTGACTAGTACCTAAAACAGACCGTAGCTGCTGAATGAAGCCATGCAGTGATTCCAGAGGTACATTTATTTTTTCCAGCTCTCCCTGGTTCTTGCACAAGCTGTAAAGTCTGTTGGCTGCTGCTTCCATTTGTTGCAGGCAGTTGTTCACATTATGAGTGTAATCTGCAGCATACAGAAAACATTTTAATTAGAAGAGTTAATTATGAGTCAGTGTTCATAAACACTTATGAATTATGTAATACTTGTGTGGCATATTATTGATTTTTTAATAGAAGAAAAAAAACTTTGATATATATGTGAGATATGAGCCCGAAATAAGAATGGAAGGCAGTATTACAGAGGATTGAATTTTGGCTTTTATAGGATAAGTGTTCACAAATCACAATTTCACAGTGTTGCATATAGTAATGATTAAAATACATGAGAGGTTCATGGAAATGTAAGTGAAATTAAAATAAATAAATAAATAAATAAATAAGCAAGCAGTCTGTTAATGTAATCCACTTTTAAAGCTATGGGAATATACCTAAATGTTTATTTGGATAGTTTTGACATTACAGTATAATGTCCTTGAATTTGAAAGTGCTTACTAATTTAAATTTAACTCCTGTTAAGGCATGAAGGACAGGAAAGTATCAGATGCTTCTAAAGATTTGGCTGGCTGTTCAGTGATTGAGGTTCCTCACCCCCCCTTTCACTTTCACCTGAGGATGGAAACATCCAGCTTCCATTAACATGTTCTGATGTTCTGTTCAGAATACCAGACAAGGGGCAAAGTAAAAAAAAACAGTAATTTTAAATGTGATTTCATTTTAAATATTTTTGAGACCCAAGGTGGCACAGAAAGACTGCTTAGACTGGCTGTACTGATGTCCAACACATAGTAATACTTGTGAACTTCTGTACCTAAATCATTACATGATAATTTCGTCGACACATGTTGTATGCTGTCACTGAGTTGTTGTTTAATTTGGTGCATGTTGACCAATATTCGGCTGCTCTTGTGTGCTTCAGCATCTTCCTCCTTTCCCTTCCAGTCATCAGCTTCCCATGATAGGTCAATGTGCAATAATTCCTTCAAGTTGTCATTCTGTAAACAATAGTATTTTGATATACAATCTATATAATCAGAGTAATGCATGCCTTTAAGATGGTGTGATGGTATTTGAGTTATAATTAAAACCCTGTCACGGAATCAGGAACATCTGGTTGTCAGTGAGTGCTGTGATGTATGGCTGTGCAATTTATATATACAGGGTGTCCCAGGAGGAATGGACCAAACTTCGGGAGGGTGTTCCTTATGTTAAAGTATGCCGATATAACCCAAAACACCTATGTCCAAAGTTGAACGGTTATGGAGATAATGGCCAGAGAAGTGTCAAACTTTGACCGGCGTTGCACACTTGTTGATTACAAAATACATATTAAAACTGGCAGGAATATGTGGATTCTGTAATGTTAATAATGTACGTAACATCAGACTAACTTGTGAGTGATATGAAGTCATAAAATTGAAGTACAAAATACTCGCTCTCAATGTCATAATTGTCCTTAGGGTTTCCAAGCACTATACATGAAGCGCTCACGTGACGTGCTGACTGCGCCTTCTGATAAAGCCAACTACATAAGTACGGCTAGGGTGAATCACGGCACTCAAGGACAAACATAGATAGGGCCTCTCAGCTGAGAGGTACAGTGCGTGGACCTGCCAGAAGACCACACTTTTCTTGGGCCATTATCTCCGTAACCGTTCAACTTTGGACATAGGTGTTTTGGGTTATATCGGCATACTTTAACATAAGGAACACCCTCCCGAAGTTTGGTCCATTCCTCCTGGGACACCCTGTATATACTATGTTCTGAAATGTCTAAAATTGCCAGTTTCCTACATAATTTTGTTTCTCTTTATTGTGCTGGAAAATTATGGATTATAATCTGCTCTAATAATACCAGACAAATGAAAGTTCTGGATTCAGTTCCCATTTACCTCCCTTTGGGCAGTGCATATTACTACAAGTAATACGAGTACACCTATTGCAATATAGCTTCCAGCCGTTAGAAACAGTTTTCTTGTGGTGTTACACAGCATTTACTATATTGTATTGTAACCATAAAACACACAATGTTTTCAATATGTAATCATAAAATTAACAGTATTTCTTCAGTATTGCATCTGCCTTGACACAGATCACATCAAATGATCACAGACTGTTTTGTGGTTTTATAAGGTTGTATAGGAATTTATCAGAGCTGTAGGATTTAAGCAGAAAAGATGTCAACAAACCAGTGAAGAGTCTAGCATATGACAAATTGAAAGTGGATCCTTGAATTAATGACACAAAAAAGAAAATTTTTTCAGTCATATCATAGAAGAGAACTGAATACAGGAAGTTAGGCATTCTGGAGGTGGTGCAGGTGATATTTCTGAGCCATCTTCATGTATACAAATAAACTGTTCTTCAAAGCCAGGAAGAAGAGGCAGAATATGCTTTCGACTGAACAACAAAGCCAGGTGAGTAAACACATTTGTTATTAATTTATATTATGACATGTAGATCAATTTCTAGGCAACACATGCAACAACAGAGCTGATGTGCAGGTGATGTTCACAACATTGGACAAGGCGAAGCCAAACACAAAGTATAAGAGGCTTAAACTTGACGGTGGTCAGGCATACGACCGTTCAAGTGACTAGATGCCGTGGTAGCAAATACTAGAAATAGGGTACTGAGCCTAGACTGAAAGAGGCCTTCTATATATTATACATACTAGATATTAAGACTCAATTGTAAATAAGTGTACATAGAGACGATGGAGTAATGCTATCGACAATTCTATATGTATAATATAAACTCCATCGTAAATGCAACACATTATTGTAGTTCTTGTCCCCCTTCTTTCACACTACATGTTTCGGCTGTAACTGGCCATCATCAGGCATATTTCACTTCACATAGCTGTCACACTGCACTCAATATTAACCTTTAAAGTCCAGATTTCCAATTGTTCATTCCTCTGTCGTCAATTGGCACCCGATATTCCAGAACTCCCCTTGTCAGTTTTGTCAGTTATATTTAAAATCGTAATTAATATTGATTCCTCGATTGGTTTAAAATTTTAACCTTTAACAGCCGAATGTTATAATTATTGGCAGCAAGTAGGAAGCCAACTGGCTGAATGTTATAATTTTTAGAGGCAAGCCACGTGTTTCCTTTGTGAGTGCTGGCAGTTTGACCTTGGGTTTGAAACCCAAACAAACTCATGAATGTCAGATGTTTATTTGTTAGCTCTGAACAATGAAATCGTTTATCAGGGTACTGGTTTCAAAACCATTTACGTTTAGATATGACTGTTTATGACCTGGTGAGCCAATAGAAGTCAGCTTTGTTTTGAGATCTTAGAGGAGGAAATATTCGTGGGCTTGCATATCAGTGCTACCAGAGCTTTCAAGGAAGTGTTAACGCATTCAGGGATTGGTTTGCAGTGCTGAATTGTCAGTTAAGACGTCAGTGGCGGATTTTCTAATATTTCGTTATTAGTTAGGAAGTCAGTGTCAGACTCCTATATTTCTTTGTATACCATTTTTATTGTGTATCTCGGAAGAGGTATAAACCCACTGAGCCAGTGTTACTTTGTGCGTAAAGACATCTTCGTCACTGTGGCTTTCGCTATCAGTGGCGGACTGGCACTTTTCGACTGCTATTGCAATTATTTTGCATCACAATTTTGCAAGTGTTCCTAACAGTCTCACTTTTTCAATCATAAATTATGGGATTTAGCTGGAAGCCCCCTCCCCCAAGATGGAACCTCAAAAACGAGCCCGATACTCAAAACTCCTCGATGCTGAAGAACTGGAGGAAATATTGATGGAAGATGAATCTGATGAAGAGTTGGAAGAACTCGATGAGGTCATTGAACCTCGTGAGCATATGTCATCAACATTATCATCATCATCCTCAAGTAATGAGGCAGGGGAAATGGAGATCAGGTTTCGCAATAGAAGACCCGGGGATTCGCCAAATCTACTAGAGTTCACTGGTCCTCCGTGTGGAATCAACAGATCCGCTGCTCCCAATATAAATGCTCAGTTCTTTCCATTTTCATTCTCTTTTTCCAGCATATATTCCAGATCTTGGTACAAGAAACAAACAGATATTTTCGTAAATTTTTGGCAAGCCAAGATGCTCCAGGCCCTTCTGCTCAACTGCCTGATGTCACAATTGAAGAAATGTCAAAATTTTTGGCCATAATAATTCAAATGGGCCACGATCAGCGGGACACCCTGAAAGATTATTCGTCGAGGGATGAGCAGTACTACACTCTATTCTATCATAACACCATGGTACGCGACCATTTCTTCCATATTTTGAGATTCCTGCATTTTGAAAATAATGAAGCTCCTCCAAATTGAGATGACCCAGAGTACAATAGGCTCTGGAAGATTAGAAAAATTTTCAACAATCTTAACAGCAAATTTTGTGAACTTTACTATCCATCGGAATATCTTGCTGCTGATGAAGTGATATTGCTGTTCAAAGGAAGAGTGTTTTTTTCGGCAGTATATTCCAAAGAAACACAAAAAATTTGGAATAAAAATTTACAAGCTTTGCGATTCTCTGAGCTATACATATGACATGACTGTTTATTTGGGGAAACAAAGGCAACTTGCAACCGAAGAAATTACACCAACCCATGGCATTGTTCTCCAGCTAATTCGAAGAGTAGAAGGCTCAGGACACAAACTTTATATGGACAGCTATTTCAATTCCCCTGCATTGTATGACGATCTTCTAGAGCGTAAAATAAATACGTGTGGCAACGTTCGCAATGACAGGCGTGGAATGCCACAAGAAATTCGGCCCAAATCAATGAAATTGAAAAAAGGGGATATTGTGACAAGAGTGAAGGGGAATATAAGTGTTGTTCGTTGGAAAGACAAGTGTGATGTGTATGTTCTGATGAATATGCACCACCCTTCATTGGATGGAAACTTCTGAGATGAATCTGGTTGTGCTATCAAACCTCATGTAATTGAAGACTACAATGCACACATGGGCTTTGTGGACAAATCTGATAGAATGGTGAACAGCTATGGCATTGCTCGGAGGACATGGAAATGGATGAAGAAATTATTCTTCCACCTCCTAGACATGACTATTCTCAATGCATATCTGCTACACAAGTCATGTGACGGAAAAATCACAGACAAAAAATTCCGCGAAATTTTGGTGCGCAATTTGATTCTTCAAGTTCATCTGGGGCCCAACTGAGTCGACTGGAGGTGAAACATTCAAAACACTGGCCAGCTAAAGAGAAACAAAGACGCCGCGTTTGTTCTATAACAAGAAAAGCAGGAACACACTTTTCTGCTGTAAAAAGTGTGATGTGCTGTGTGTGGTGGACTGCTTCGAGAAATGGCACACGCGTCAAGAGTGTGAACTGTGAAGTGACGCAGTCCAAACCGTGTACAGTCCGAACCAAATATTATTGTATATAGTGTCATCATATTTACATCACCANATACATATGACATGACTGTTTATTTGGGGAAACAAAGGCAACTTGCAACCGAAGAAATTACACCAACCCATGGCATTGTTCTCCAGCTAATTCGAAGAGTAGAAGGCTCAGGACACAAACTTTATATGGACAGCTATTTCAATTCCCCTGCATTGTATGACGATCTTCTAGAGCGTAAAATAAATACGTGTGGCAACGTTCGCAATGACAGGCGTGGAATGCCACAAGAAATTCGGCCCAAATCAATGAAATTGAAAAAAGGGGATATTGTGACAAGAGTGAAGGGGAATATAAGTGTTGTTCGTTGGAAAGACAAGTGTGATGTGTATGTTCTGATGAATATGCACCACCCTTCATTGGATGGAAACTTCTGAGATGAATCTGGTTGTGCTATCAAACCTCATGTAATTGAAGACTACAATGCACACATGGGCTTTGTGGACAAATCTGATAGAATGGTGAACAGCTATGGCATTGCTCGGAGGACATGGAAATGGATGAAGAAATTATTCTTCCACCTCCTAGACATGACTATTCTCAATGCATATCTGCTACACAAGTCATGTGACGGAAAAATCACAGACAAAAAATTCCGCGAAATTTTGGTGCGCAATTTGATTCTTCAAGTTCATCTGGGGCCCAACTGAGTCGACTGGAGGTGAAACATTCAAAACACTGGCCAGCTAAAGAGAAACAAAGACGCCGCGTTTGTTCTATAACAAGAAAAGCAGGAACACACTTTTCTGCTGTAAAAAGTGTGATGTGCTGTGTGTGGTGGACTGCTTCGAGAAATGGCACACGCGTCAAGAGTGTGAACTGTGAAGTGACGCAGTCCAAACCGTGTACAGTCCGAACCAAATATTATTGTATATAGTGTCATCATATTTACATCACCATGATTCAAGGTTGAAGAAAAACAATGGGTAAGTCCTTTAGAAATTCATGACGTATATAATAATGATTATATTTTGCATTTCATGACAAAATAATCACAGTTAATTTTCATTTATAAAACTTGCCCTTTTGTGTATATAGAAAATTTTATTGTCTTTCGGGTTCTTTTTAGTTCATATTCTGATCTTGCATAGAACGGAAAATATGCATTTTTTTCTGAAAGTTTGCAATGTTAAAGACTTGGGGCCATTTAAATTCCGGCCGTAGGAGCTGCCAGCAATTTAAATCCGTACGTTAAAGGTTAATCGGGTGCCGATTGACGACAGAGTAATGAACAATTGGAAATCTGAAGTTTAAATGTTAATATTGAGTGCAGTGTGACAGCTACGTGAAGTGAAATACACCTGATGATGGCCGGTTGCGGCTGAAACGTAGTGTGAAAGAAGGG